GCTTTAAGTATGAATGATTTGAGGTAAAAGTATGTTCAAATAATTGTAGTCAAATGAGAATTGTGGTACATTAATAGATATACAGAGATTTTGACTTAAAGTGTATAATCTAATATGAACTATAAGTAATGACTGTGGAAGAAATGCACAAAAGTTATCTGTAACCAATCGACACGCTTTCTACAAGATGTAATGAAGGATGATTCTTTTTTGTGTTTTTGTTCAATTAAAATTTAAAAAATTCAAAACAAGATTTACAATTTATTTCACAGGTCTTATTTATTGCTTTGAAAGAGCAGTGTGGTAATCTAGTGGTGACACTCGCCTCCCATTTGGAAAGTTGACAGTTCAATCCTAGGTAGCGGCAGATGTTTCTCTCCTAGGGTGGAAAAAATAATATCTGCTGTGAACTCCACGTGGCATCAGGAAGGACATCCAGCCAGCAAATGCTCAGCTCCAGGCAGTCGCCACGACTCTACCCCAGGAATACAGGGTCACAAAAGTGAGGTTTTATTTATTTATTTATTTGAAGAAATAGTAGCACAGAATCTTCCAATCATTCTGAGAAAGTGTCATCAGCATTCTCCCAAGATGGGCACCATGAAGCCTGTATGAGCAGATGTGCCATCAAAATCAAACTCCATCTTCTAGAGCAGGGGTCGGCAGCCTTAAACAAAAGAGTCATAAAGGTCCTAACTGAAAGCGTCTGGTTCAATTCTGGAGCCAACTGGAAGTCCAGTTCCCCCATTATAGTCTCCACCTAGCACAGCATCCTTTCCCTCTACCTTTCCTAACCAAAAGCCCTAACCCTATCGATTGTGGAGCCATCCGGAAACAGGAAGCCACAGCATAGCGATGAAAGAGCCATATGTGGCTCCAGATACCTGTTCTAGAGTTAGCCCCCTTTCTTAACATCCATTCATACATGACATCTAAAGTCAGGTTTTTGTACATCGGACACAACTCTTAGGAAACTTCACACACCACACAACCTTCTACCTACCACTTCCTCTTAAGGCAACAGCTGGCTTAGGAAGGTCCATTAAAATGGGACTTACCAGCAGAGCTGATCAAGAGCTTCTGTTTCCATTCCAGCTGATCCAATCCCATTGGGGTGCTCTTGGAGAGTGGGAGGGAGTGGCATCGGTCCAAAAAGAGTTTGAATGGAGGAGGAGATGCTGGAGATGGGCAAAGAGGGTGAGATCGTGGCTGCGGAAGGGAGAGAAGGGAATTGATGTAAAGACAAAATGACTGCAAAGTTTTTTAACAAAATGTAAAGAAAACACCCCAAATGCCAAGATATCTTCATTTCGCTCATGTACAAGAAGATAGAGCAGCAGTGTTGAAATGCAATGCATAACATCTTCATCAACTGAGGTAGAATTTGCTCACATTCAAAGATACCATGATCTCTTATGCAGTTAAAGTGCTTTTACTTAAGAAAGAAATGGCCCAAACAAGAAAGTAATGACAATGAGCAGGAACGCTCATTTTCCTTCCTTCCTTTCTTCTTCCTTTCCTCTCCTTCCTTCTTGCCCTCTTCCCTCTTTCCTTTTCCTTCCTCCCTCCCTTCCTTTCTCTAATTTACATTACTAGGTTCCAGTCAACAGTCCTTTCAGACATGGTAGGAGGAGTCTTTGACAACTTCAAATCAGAAGGTGTCTGATAGCAGCTTTTAGACCAATGCATTTTTTAAAAAGATACGATTTTGTTAGCAAACTTCAGCAAATGCATCAAAGCCTATCCCAAATTGGCCCATCTATGCAACTGATGGAGTGAACTGTAGCTCACAAAAGCTAATGCCTTTTAATAGTGTTAGTCTGAAAAAATGCTGCCAGCCCCCTCTTAATTTTTGACAATCTTTTCAGGTAACCTTAGCATGACGGCACAAGAAATGATACATATATAGTAAATTTCCTGAACCACTGGCTCTTGCAAAAGTCCAATATTCTATGATAGTTCACTATTCTCAGCTCAGAATTTCATGGGATATGAGTGAGAGCACTAAGATCTACTTAAGCTTTTAACCTTCCCTCTTTTCCTCCAGTTTGGGGAGTCTATAGATGCAACATTGCTGAGTGCTTCTTCAAGGAAACCAAGGCATATGGAGATGATTCTGCTGTGTTAAGTCTTCTCTCTCCATAATTTCCAAGATATAAACATGTCTTTAAAACTTCCCCATCTCTCAAAAACACAACAGGAAATACTGCAAGTTTGGTGGTTTTCTTGCAGAGGTTTCATTATCAATTAGGTAACACTATCAGTGCTATTGTGCTAATAATCAGTGCTAGCAAAGCCTCACATCTCTAAGACAATAAAGGAAAAAGGCAACACAATTTCTACCAAACTTCAGTGAGGAGCTGTTTCTCTAATCCCTCATTTTGTTTCCAATGGCTTTATTTTATAATTCTGGTGAGGTATTCAGACCAGGCAGCAGACGAGAACTTTCAGGATGAGATTTCGCAGATGGCTTCAGTTGCAACTATACCCTCTTAGGCTACCACCTCCAGAGTCAACTGCTTTGCCCTCTGCATGCACGCTTTCTTCTTCTTTTTCACTCATCAACTTCTTGCCTCTAGGCACCAAAAGTTACATGGCAACTGGACAGTTGCTCCCCTTCAACAACATTTCCTCAAAAGGAAAATTGTCAGATTTATCAGTAACTGATGGGCAACAGCAGCGGCAGTGGTAGCAGAAGCAACATGATCAGAAGACTAAGGAGCAACCTTAGGTTATCTCCATCTTCAAGGTCATGACACTAGTGGGTTAACCTTCACTGGGATTACAAAACCCAGCTCAAATGACTCACTCTGAGAAACACTGAACCGAAATGAGTAGAGAGCAATACTTTATTTAATTTTCCATCTGCTTCGCTGTATCATGTCACAATCCTTACCCTCAAGCAGATACAGCATTTTTTGATGGGGGAGGAAAAAGCATACAGAACGTAAAAGAAATGCTATAGGCAACAAAATTGGAAAATCTTTAAAGGACGGGGCTGACGGAGCTCCAAGATTGCTGTCGATATCTCTGCTGCTGGACGGTTCTTTTGGAGGTCGGTCCTCCCGTAGAGACAGTGATAGTGAAGGGTACGTCCTCCTGATCTCAGGGACATCGCAAAGTCCCTGATTGATCCAGGAGAAGCTCTTTTTTCCGTCAACAGAGAAGCAGCCATTAAGCTGCAGAAGGTTGGGACAGCCCCTGAATAGAAGAAAAGCAGGAAATGTGTCGAAATGGTGAGATAAATTTTTACTGTTAGAGAACACCCCAAAAGACTTAGAGTAAAATTAAAATTGAAGACAGAAAACAGCAAGCGGCGAATTAAGCCTGAATTAAACTTAGGGTGTTATCCTTTAACTTTGTTTTTTTTATGGATGGATTTTTTACAAATGCCTCTTCCTTTTTAAATTGGACTGGTTTCTTTTTTCCTTCTTCTATTTTTCCTCTTTTTTCATATTGGTGGATTGTGAATTTATTTCATTTCTTTTTTCAACGCTCGGCTGGATTGTCTTTTTTTAAAGAATGTTTTTCTTAAGTTTGGAATCTAAAGAGAGGCGTAAAAGTAGAGGAAAAAGAAGTAATACTGCCACCTAGAGGCTGGAGGTTGGAAATGTTGCTTTTTTTTCTTATTCTCTTTGAACACCCGACATATCTTATACTTCCAAGGCTCCTGATTTTGTATATTGAAAGGGATAGTGGGAAGAGTACGGATTGTTTATGCAGGTGCTCTTCTGGAGTACTATCAATAGCTGGACTGGAGTGAAGAGAAAGCCTTGACTTGAAATATTATTGTGAACTTGTTTGATACTTAACAAAAAAGCCTTGGATGTTTTAGTGGCAGTGTTTATAACCTGGAAAAATGGTGCAACATGAAGAAGAAAAAGAACTTATATTCCAAATGATTATGCTAAAAATTCAAATAAGTGCAAATAAATACAGAGGAGGAGGAGCCAACGTCACGACAAGATGGGCAAGCGGTCTCGATGCTCTGAGACCGCAGTCAATACTTTTGCCGCTGGGTGGTCCAATTGGACCTAAACTGTCCCGAAGAGACAGTGAATAGGAAGAATACATCTTGCTGACCTCAGGAATATCGCAAAATCCCTGAAAGAAGCAAGAGAAGTTTTTCAAGCTGGCGACAAAAAAATCCAGCCAAGGCTGACAAAGTCAGGGTGACTCCAAAACAGAAGGATACGGAAAGAGAAAGTGTTTCCAGCTGGTGAGGAACTTTTACTGTTTTAAAAAGAGACTGCCTAT